GCAATGAGGGCCGGCGCCGCAGCTCACTCCTCCGCCTGGCGGCGCCGGCACACCGGGTTCTAGTCCCGGTCGGGGCGCCAGATTCTGTCCCGGTTGCCCCTCTTCCAGGCCAGCTCTCTACTGTGGCCAGGGAGTGCAGTGGAGGATGGCCCGAGTGCTTGGGCCCTGCACCCCATGGGAGACCAGAAGCAGCACCTGGCTCCTGGCTTCGGATCAGTGCGGTGCGCCAGCCTCAGCGTGCTGGCCGTGGCGGCCATTGGAGGGTGAACCAATGGCAAAGGAAGACCTTTCTCTCTGTCTCTCTCACTATCCACTCTGCCTGTCAAAACAAAAAAGGGGGGCGGGGAATGAATGAGAGCTGAGAGCCTATCTGGCTCAAATGTGGAGAGTAAGAAGGGAAAACCCATGAGCTGGGACTCACAGTTTGGGCAACAAGTCCGTGAGAAGGTCTTCTGGGGACCACCCTCGGCCAGTGCTCGGCCAGCTGTCTCTCAGAAGAGAAGTGTACGCACTCAGCGCAGTGAGACATTGTGTCCCCCTGGTCCCTGCCGACACTAGCGACCACTCGTGGCCACACTTAAGTCATGGGATCCAGGACCAGAGGAAATAAATAAATACCCACAGCAGACAGCTGGAGCTTTTCACATCCAGACTGAAGCCACAGACCCTGAGAACCACACCTGGCCCAGGTACCCGGCCCCTCAAGCCAGTACTCACATCTGCCCAAAACACCCAGGCACTGGCCATTGGACACCAGCCACCAGCTGCGAGCCAGGTGAGTTAGAAAACAAAGCTTACAAAGTGATGGTTTATTTCACATCGCAGAGCTCACCCCACTACTGAAGCCGGTGGCATACAAATGCAAACGGCTTTAGATTCCACCGATGGAGGCTCGGCTGCAGTCACACACAGCAAAGCACAAGAATCACCAAAAAGGAACCAGTGCTGTGATTTCTCTAAAAGCAAACTTGGCTGGCATTTAAACTGAGAATTCCAAGTCGGCCTGGAGGAGGAAGCACTCACACAATAGTGTTTTACTGTTATCAAGTAAGCGGGCTACTGAACAGGCTGTCCCTGAGAGGTGCATTTTGTTTCTGGAGAAATCTCAGCGGGGCACAGGATTTACTGTGCTGCTAAAAGTGAAAGAAAAAGCATTACTGTAGAAGCAAGGGCAGGGGTGGATGTCACTCAAGCTCACACTCTGGGTCCCACGTGCGTCTCCAGGGCAAACGGGCTCCTGGTCACCCTCTGGCTGCCCACTGCTCTCACACTGCCTGTCCATGCCAGCCAGAGCTGCTCCCCAGGAACTAACTGCTCTTCCCACTCAACAGCTCCAGCCCCCAACACCTTGAAAAAGGACTTCGCTGAGTTTTGCATTATGTCCTTTTTTCTTTTTTAAGGTTTATTTATTTGAAAGGCAGATCTACAAAGAGAGGAAAAGACAGATTTTCCATACACTGGTTCATTCTTCAAATGGCACTAATAGTCGGGGCTGGGCCAGGCCAAAGCCAGGTGCTTGGAACTTCAGCGTCTCCAATGAGGGTGGCAGGTGCCAAAGCATTTGGGCCATCCTCCGCTGCCTTCCCAGGTGCATTACTGGGGAGCTGGATCAGAGGTGGACCAGCCAGGACTCAAACTGTGGGGAGCAACTCGGACTAGACTGTTACTGGAATTAAGACTTATTCTATGCATCTGCTCTCCCACAATATGGCGCTGGGAGAGGAGGAAACAGCTTCTACACAGCTGCCTCCAGTTCAACCAATAAACAGCAGGAGCTGCTCCTGATTGGAGGAGAGCAGCGTACTTGGCGTGTGGGTAGCAGAGTTGGGATTGGTGGAAGAGGACTATAAAGGAGGAGAGAGACAACATGCACCAGGAACATCTAAGGGGAACATCTATTTGAAGGAACACCTGTGCAGCCCCCGAGAGAGCCGGCCGGCGTTGTGCCGCTCCCCCGCGGAAGTGGGGAAAGTGGCAGGGGGAACCGCCCTTCCACGGAGGTGGAAGGGTCGGTAGCCAACCCGGGAAGAACCAGCAGCAAACCCAGGGAGGGCCGAGCAGACAAAAGAACAGCGCAGGGTCCTGTGTCGTTCCTCCACGAAGAGGGGGAGCGACACAAACCAGTGTTCCTATGGAATCCTGGCATCACAGGCAGCTTAACCCACAGTGCCCCAGCGCCAGCCCCTGCAAGTCATGTTCTAAATTCCTCCCTCAGCCCCATTAATTTGGTTCTGAAGTCTCCTTCAGACAGGCAGCCCCAGAGGAGAAACACCAAATCCTAAATGCTGCCTGCGCAGTGCCTTTGTTGGGCAGGCAGGGATGGCCCATTGCGGTTCTGCAGCTCCCAGAACCCCTCTGCAGAATCCCAGAACCAGGATTCAAAAGCTTGAACCCTGGCAAACAGTAACCTGCTGGCAGCACCTCCCAAAATGCATAGCCATGCTGCTACTTCGTGCAAGAGAAATGAAAAAAGTCTGCATTTTGTTTAGAAGCCAATGATCCAGAAGGTATGGATTATTTAAAGATTTTTTTTTTTAATTTCTCTCACTCTCAAATGTGTTTTGGCTAGGAAAAGGGACATTTAAGTAAGTTTCTTTGTTAATTTAAGACATGATAAAAAGGATGATAAGAGATTGAAACCAAGAGGAATATGAATTAGAATACTCCTTTCTCAGGGCAGGCATTTAATGCAGTGGGTTTAGCCACCACTTGGGAAGCTTTCATCCCCTGTGAGTCCTGCCTCTGCCAGCTATGCCCCCCCTATCCAGCTTCCTAAGAAAGCCACCTAGGACGGCATCAAGTGATGGCTCAAGTACTTGGATCCCTGCCACCTACACTGGAAACCTGGACAGAGCTCCTGGCTTTGGCCTGGCCAAGCCCTGGCTGTTGCGGCCATCTGGAGAGTGAACCAACAGATGAAGAGCTCTGTCACTCGGCCTTTCAAATAAATATAAGTATGTATGTGTGTATATAAACAACTCTGGCCGCAAATGCATTCACAATCCTAAAAATTCCATGAGGAAGCAAGAAGGAAGCCCCTGAGGGAGCATCAACAGATGCAGCTAACAGAAAAACCACCATCCCCAAGAGCTGAAGAACAGGAATTCTAACTATTAAATAAATGATTAAAATGGCTTTAGAAGATTAGAAGTAGGGGCTGGCATTGTGGCATAACAGGTAAAGCTACCGCCTGGGATCCCAAGAGGGCCGGATTATGTGTTGGCTGATCCACTTCCAGTCCAGCTCCTTGCTAACGGCCTGGGAAAAGCAGCAGAAAATGGCCCAAGTGTTTGGGCCCCTGCACCCATATAGGAGATGCAGATGAAGCTCCTGGCTTCAGCCTGGCCCAGGCCTGGCCATTGCAGCCATCTGGGGAGTCAATCAGTGGATAGATCTCTCTCTCTCTGTAACGCTGCCTTTCAAATAAATAAATAAATCTTTAAGAAAAAAATAGAAACAGTAATTTTTTTAAAAAAAGAACAACAATTTGGAAAAGAATCAAAGACAACTTCAGAAGCAATTTTGCCAATGATGTGTTGTCAATGGCCTGGATAAATGACAGATTAGACAGAGCTGAGAACAGAATTAGTGAGATAAGTACAAGGAGTTACTTTGAATACAAATACACCACAGAGAAATCTAAAACAGATAGAGGGTATGTTCAGTGAGTCTACAAGAAATCCCGGACAGGAAGAACAGAGAAAGGGATGACAGCATCTACCTGTATGCAACAAAATAACACGCAAAGAAAGCTTTCTTTCTGAAGACCATAAACATGAGGTCCAAATGAGAGGAACTGAAGTAAACGCGTATCTAAATGCAGCAGTGAAACTAGAAATATTAAAGGCTAAACAAAGGGAAAGACTGAACTTGTTATAAAACAAGTAACCCAAAAATCTATGTGTGTGTGTGTATGTGTATATATGTGCGCGCTCTGGACAAGTGGCCACCACTGACGCAGAAACACAAAGCCCTGTCTCCTCTGGTCTTTCGGGTGTGGGAATGGCCTTCAACTTAGCCCCGTCTGTCTGAAGAGACCTAACAATCCTCTGCCAGACCCAGGGGCAGCAAACTATTTGTTAATTGAGTCCTGGACCTTTCACTATAAATTTGGGTGTACGACTGTTCTACAGTATTATAACTGCCAATTTTTCTTAAATGCCTAATTAAATTGGGTTATAAAAAAAAAAAAAATTTATCCAGCAGTAAGGCATCTCGAGGATATTTTGATGGCAAGAACCCCATCTTGTGGCAAGATGTTTCACAACCAAGAGTGGCTATTTATGGTACTGCCATTCTCATTCTGAAGATAACTCTTGTGTTGAGAAGTTATCATTTTATCTGCTTCAGCAGACAGAATTTCTAACCCAGCATTTGTCTTGTGTCTGCAACAGCACCAGAGTACACAATAAATCTGTGCAACACAGTAATGCTGGGGCCTTATGAGTTATTTCCAAGTGAAAGCTGGCAGTCTCTGCAGGAATATTCTCAGAGCAAGGCAAACACTGGCTCTAGTTAGCATCCGAAATAACACTGTCAGCTCCCAGCACAGCACACCTGCAGTCTTCTACCATTCCCACCTAACTCCTCGAGGGTAGCTTTTAGTGGCTTCCTTTCTCCCTATTCTAAATGAAAATAAAAGGGCTCTGAAGTATTCTCTTCATTTTCTTCCTCCTTGTCTTCTCCCGCTGCCCCTTTCAGTTTTCCTAAAGACCTGAAAGCCTTATTGTTAATAAGGTTAAAAAAATAAATAAATACTCAAGCACTGAGCAGGATGTCCCTCTCAGAACAGTAAGTGGTACTGCTTTCTTATTCCCGCTATTACTGCCAATCGTGATCACAAGAGAACGCTGACGAGGACAGGGGAGACCCCCTCACAACAACTTAGTTGTGGGTTTACCAACTGCCAAAACCTTAAGGAAACATCTAGTTCAAACAAGTCAGATTACTTTTTACAAAAAGCAAGATCTGTTTTGAGAGGGTTAAAAAAAGACAGTAGATTAATATTAAAACAGCTTTTTTATTTGTTAATGTCACATAAGAAATTTAAGCATGTTACACTATCTTAAAAAACACAGCTAATGCGCTTTTAATAGAGAAACCCTTCCCCGCCCCTCCCCTGCCTCCCTTCCCCCCGCATGAATTAAGAATCTAGAAGTAACCATAAAACAAAGGTTGTGGAATCCTTCATCCAGAGGGCTCACATGATGATTAGATTAATATTGCCTTCTTACAGAGTTTCTCTTTTCTATTTTAAAAAAAATTTGTAGCCTTGATTGCTTATTACAAAAAAATTCAGTATAAAAGTTTCAATATATTGAAAAAATGCTTTCCCCTCCCTCACAGCACCGTTATATATAGCAGAGGATAATCAAGAGCAGATTGCTAATCTAGATGGAGCAATCTTCAGATTACACCCAGACACACAGTGGTTTATTTACCCTCCCCTCCCCTTCTCATAAGAACTTAAAAAAATACAAAAAAAAAAATGCCAAAAAAGTTGAGGGACCCTTTCCAGACAGTACACAGTTAGTTCAGTGTCAATAATTCACATCTTGCAACAAAGTATATGGATATGACTTCCTTTACAAAACGTTCAGTGTCAAAAGAAAATTAAGGCCATCAGATTCGCAGCTTAAAAATTCACATAAAGGAAATATAAAAATATTCTGTGCTTCGGAGAAGGCTCTGCACTGTATACAGGTAAGGGTTACCACTCTTCTTTATCTTGAGGAAGACAGGATTTGAGAGGTTTACATAATTGCACAGCTTCTGTTGGATGCTCTTGGGGTTCCCTGAAGAAAAAACAAAAGGAAAAATAACTGCTAAGAAAACGGATCAAGGGCCAGGACCATGGCACAGTGGGTTAAGCCACTGCTTACAATGCTGGCATTCCTTATCAGAGTACAGGTTTAAGTCCCAGCTGCTCTGCTTCCAATTCAGCTCCCTGCTAATGTACCTGGGAAGGCAGCTTGAAGATGGGCCAAGTGCTTGGGCCCCTACCACCCAAGTGGAGACCTAGATGGCATTCTGGGCTCCTGTCTTTGGTCTAGCCCAGTCCAGGCCATTGCAGCCCTTGGGGATTGAACCAGCAGACTGAAGTTCTCTCTCTCTCTCTCTCTCTCTCTCTCTCCCTTTTCATCCTCTTAGGCAACTTGCCATGTTACAAGGAGGCAAAGACTAACCCACTGGTTCATGAGAAGCCACATGGAAAGAGGTATGAAAGAATTCCATCTCCACTCAAGCTCCCAGCAGAATGTTAACTGCACGGCTGACTGCAGTCTTCACCAAGCAGAGCAGAAGAGCCACCCCGCCGAGCCCACTCAAACCACAGACCCTTGGAAAGTAAGAAATCATTGTTTAAAATTTTTTAATGTTGGGGTAGTCTGTTACTGTAGTAACAGATAATCCAAACACCCTCAGAACACATTATCTGCGTCTCTCTAACACCCAAATAATTTTTCGTCCTGCAAAGTATGGGACAAGCATCGTTCCTTCCCCACAGTTCTTCTCAACTACCACGGTAGCCCAGAGGACCTCCAGCTGCAGTTGGCTCAGCACCTGATGCCTGGCACCTTCAGATCACTCCATCTGATTCTGTTACGTATCTAGCCACTAAGGGCTGGGACCAGATCTTGTGTTTGCTTCTTAAACCCAACCATAGAGTAGCCACTCCTACATATTCCTCTAAAACATGTAAGAAGGCATCCGGGTTAAAAATAAATAAATAAATAAACTCATGCGACTTCACATCATCCACTTCAAGCAGTTCCCAACTCTGGGGCTATACATGTAAAATAAAGTTTATTTAAAGTAGGACTGGGGTTAATGAAACAAAGCAAACTCAGATAACAAATCTAGAGGCATGAAGACCAAGTCTTTTTAGGCTAAGGGTAGATAAACTTTGATTAATGATCAGACTCCAAGAGGCTGACTTGAGAATATAACCTACTGAAGACTCACTAGTTATTAATAATTGCAATGTAATTAATTGAAACCAAATCTGGAGTTTCTTTATTTCAAGGGCTCTTAAAAGTCCAACCATCAGCTAAAATCTATCTTGCAATTAGATAATGATCAGAACTTATACAGCAAGAATTTTCTTGCATATTGCAATTGAATATTATGAGATTTTTTTAGTACATATGCACATGGCTCATTCTAATTTAGTCATCTAAACTTTTCAATCACAGAACCCTATAAGTAGGTAGGTAAGTTTCAGGACATGAAAAATGATTCATATATACTAATTTTTTTTTTTTTTTTTTTTTACAGGCAGAGTGGACAGTGAGAGAGAGAGAGACAGAGAGAGAGAGAGACAGAGAGAAAGGTCTTCCTTTGCCGTTGGTTCACCCTCCAATGGCCGCCGCGGCCAGCGCGCTGCAGCCGGCGCACCGCGCTGATCCGATGGCAGGAGCCAGGAGCCAGGTGCTTTTCCTGGTCTCCCATGGGGTGCAGGGCCCAAGCACCTGGGCCATCCTCCACTGCACTCCCTGGCCACAGCAGAGGGCTGGCCTGGAAGAGGGGCAACCGGGACAGAATCCGGCGCCCCGACCGGGACTAGAACCCGGTGTGCCGGCGCCGCTAGGCGGAGGATTAGCCTAGTGAGCCACGGCGCCGGCCCCATATATACTAATTTTTAAGTGCTATGCTTGTCCTACCATAACATACTGTGTATATTAGAAAAGAAAAGAACATTAAAATTTAACAAAAGAAAAAAAAATCCTTTAAGAAAGGAGCTACCTCCTGTACCCTTCTGTGCACCAAGACTATCTCTTTGGGAAACACAAAAACCCCAGCTAATGGATCACCACTGCTCTGCTTCATCAAGAAACGGGTGTGTGTGTGTCAAACAATTGGCTTTTGTGTAATTTTGTTAAACTTCACAGTGTTCCAAAAAAGCAATACCTGCTGGTGGAAAAGCTCCTCCTCGGTCACCAGGCCCGCTGCCTCCTCCTCCTCCTCCTCCTCCTCTTCCGGGAGGGTTGTTTTAAAGACTGTACTTCTCTGAGCAACCTCCTAAAACCAAAAGTAAGTTTAATGTTACCCACAAAGGCTGCAGGGAAGAGGGACTCTCCCTTGCTAAAGAACAGTATTCCTGCATCAGAGATGATTTTAAAGAGCCATCCCTTCAGTCCCTACTGAACAGGAATTTTTACGTAATTAGTAGCAGTCTCAGACCTCAGTATTCCCTGCAGGGGAGCTGCTGGGATCCAACTTGAAATACCTGCTGAGAAGTTTCCACTGCTTTTATCTTGTTCTGTTGCTACGAGTTGTGCAAATGATTTGGCACCCGAAATTCTTTATGAAACTCAACATGAATTCAGCTTAAAGATCCTGGCTCCTGGCAAAGCAAAGGTGCTAAAATAAATGCTGAATAAAACGAAGCCGGAGGCTAGCTGCTGTGTCTCAGGAGCCACGGCAGCCCCTGCAGCACCTGAGGAGTGAGGCGGGAGGACCAGTTCCTTCCATCCCATCAGCAGCTGGCTCCTCTGGAAGGAAATGGGCCCAGACAGGGGAGAGCGGTTGCCAACAGCATCCTACTGAGGGTCCAGCGAGCTCTGCACGGAAGCGATCTGCTTTCACTCACGAGCGGCCGCAGAAGCGCCCCCGTCCTCGGCTAAAAGGCTCAGGTACCGATTACGTTCCTGCGAGAACGCTGACTTGGCACAAGGCTGCTGCCTGTTAAGCCCCAGGCCAACCTGCTCATCCCACAGCAAGAAAATGCCTGTGTCCCGCGGAGCACCCTGCCCTAGGGCCACTCGAGAAAGGTAGCTCCACAGAGGAGACACGAAAATCGCCACAGGAGAAACTTATTTGCAACTTAACCCAGAGCAGGGGGTGAAATTCCGAAGCAAGAGGCAGAGAAGCAGCCTTGTGTGTGTGGTGTCTGTCCCGGGTGACGCCCTGGCAGGAGTTCTGTGGGGGTGCTGGTTCCTGTGCTGGACCAGGGACGACGGCCATGCGAGTCTCTCAGCTGGTCAGTGACCTCAGTTCTGAGACACTGGCTTCTCTTTACAACGCAAGCGCCCTTCACAAATGGCCACCTGTTTTAACCAACAAGCTTGTCACTCCTCACAAACTCTGCACTCAGGAGTCAAGTCGAGGTGGCAACAACGGAAGAGAAAGCAGCCAGCAGCCGGCTCTGCTGCTCTCATCTGGACACGAGGGAAAGGCCAGGAAAACCTCTTCCTGAGTGCACACTTGCCAGCCGCTCGCAGCACGCGTCCCACGTAACCAGGCCCGCAGGCTCCTGATTTCAGTGAGATGTGAGCAAACGGCAGCCCAACTGAAGTCCATCGAGAGTAACTTCAACATAACTACTTTCAATGTGAGATTGCGTTTAAGCATGTTCACTTGAAAACATTTAAAAACCAATTAATCTAATGTAGAAAGCCAGAATTGAAAATGAATATGCTCAACAATGTCTGAAAATCTGGACAGGAGAATAATAAAACAAGTCACAATCTAGAACCAGAACGTTGTGAAAGGCTTAGATTCAGGAAATTGGTATGCTAACAGAAAAAAACATTGTCACTCAAAAGAATCCTCCCAGCAACGGACCCAGCCCTTGTCAAGTACCCCGTGCCCATCTCCAAGTCCAGTTCCAGGGCACACAGCACGTATCGACACCACAGAAATCAGCAACGCTACCAATGAAGATGAGACGGAGCACTGAGGGTTTACACAGAGTGCACACCACATGTCTATACACCCAAGCACCATTCACATACACACAAGCTGCAGGGATGTCTACCTGTCGGATGGGATAGAGGGCTTTTCAAATGGGGCAAGTCGCCACCCATAGCACACTCTACCAATTCCAGATGGCCCCAGGAAGTGCCCGCCTGGGCACCTGATGGCAGCACCTCACAACAGTCAAGGCCTAAGGCAGGAGGGGAGCAACAGCCCCTGCACAAACAGGAGGGAGGCCCGGCACCTCGCCGGAGAGCCCATCTGCACTGGAACCCCAGCTGCTGGGCCTCCTTCCATCTGGGCAGCCAGTGACTCCCTCCCGGAGAGCAATCCCAGCCGAGATGCTTACGGGGTGGGTGGAAAGCCGGCCAGGAACTGGAGTTCTTGGACAAATGCCTCCCACTCCCATAAGGAAAGCTGCTAATCACGTCCCCTCTGGGAACAGTCCTATGGGAAGAGACGAAGCATCCAGTGACTCCTGGGGCGAGCAGGAAGCGGGCCCTGCCCTCAGGACGCCCCTGCAGCGACTGAAGGCGAGGACAGTTGGCAAGCACTGCACCGGAAGCGGCCTGCCCCTGGCGCTGTGCAGAGGGAGCCCCTGGAGGACACTGCCTGACCGGGAATACTCCCTCCCGCACAGGTGCTTCCCTCGCACCACAACCGGTCTTCCACCCACCTCGCCAGCTGCACCTTCACACTCTCTGCTGTAACTTATTCCTGATGTCAGCATCTTCAAGGGCTCAATTCTGGCTCCTCCTCTTCACTGATTCTGGTCAGCCTGTCCCCTGGCTTTAATATACCCAGCTTTCAATACAACTGATGTGACAAGGACTCCAAACAGCTCTAGCCCAGGCCTGCAGTCAACATCCCAACAAGACAGCCTCACGTGAATTCCTAACTGGCACCTCAAACAATATGGCTGGGGACAGATGTTTGGTGCAAGGTTAAGACACCACATGGGATGCCTGCATCTCCTATCCCAATGCCTAGGTCTGAGTCCTGGCTCTACTTCCTATTCAGCTTCCTGCCAATGCACACTGAGGCAGTGGTGCCTGTGACCCGGGGGGAGATCCCAGTTCACAGATGCAGCCTCGCCCAGCCCCAGCTGTTGAAGGCATCTGGGGAGTGAGCCAGCAGATGGAAGATCTTTGCTTCTGTCTGTCTCTCTGCCTTCTCCGGCTTCCTCAGTCAACAGCACTGGTACCCTCCAGCTACCCAAGCAAATGAACTCATGTTTCTCTCTCATGCCTCACAATTAACTCCATCAGTGCATAACTCCAGCAGTCTGCCTCCACAGCAAGTCTCCAGTTGGTTTCCTCCTCTCCTGCCCAGAGAACCACAAGTTCCTGTCGTGCCGGCTTTCCTCTGCCAGTTACGGCTCTTGTAACCCACACAACCCCACAGCTCCTTTCTCCACCCTCCTCCAGTGGCTGCCCACGTGCCCTCAGGGTAAGAGCTGCCCTTCTCACCAGAGCCTACACACTCCCCCACTGCTGACCCATCTTGCTCCCCTCTCGGTCTCTAATCTCAGACATACTGGCTTCTTCCCTGCAGAACACAGAACTCCGCCTCCTGCCTCAGATCTTTCCATCTGCTGTACCCTACTGGGGAACAGAATACTTGTTTTCTTCTCTCGATGGTTGGCTCCTTCTCTAGTTTCAGGTTCATCTGCAGGTGTCACCTCCTCCAGGCCGACCTCCTTGACTACCCTATCTCCACCAGATCTTGGTGACTCTGTATCACACCACAGTTTGTCTCTTTTTTGTACTTACTAGAAATTCCTTTGTCATTGCCCTTACTTGCTGGCTCTTCCAACTTTCTCTAGATGTAAGCTCCATGATACCAGAAACCGAAGTGGCTTCTTTCCTGCTCTTCCCAGCACAGAGCAGCTGGCACCAAGCAGATGCTCAGTTTCTAACAGTGAGTGAGCAAGTCTGCTCTCCAAACACGCCGGCTCCCGCCAGGCCTGCCAGCCAGCGTCACTCAGGCCGAGGGGCACCCTGGTCAAGTCACAGGGTGCCAAGCAGCAGAGGCTGCCAGCCCTCAGGCTGGGCGAAGGTCACACCCGGAGGGGGGACTAAGGCTTCTTGGCAAACCAACTCAGAGCCCTTGTAGAGACACACAGGCAAGAAGCAGCAGCCTCAGAACAGGAGGAAAAGGAGAGGCACCTTCCCCCGTCAATGTGCCTGCAGCCACAGCAACGAGGAAAACCACTTGAGCTCAACAGGTCCACCCTGTGCCAGCCGAGCAGGCGATCAGCTAGGCAAACGCAGGATGGAGCCATGGTTCACAGCCAGCTTGAGCTGCTTCCTCGGGAAGTTGTATTTCTAATGGGTGTGTGTGTGTGTGTGTGTGTGTGTGCGCGCGTGCTGGGTCGGGGGCAGTTTTGAGAAGCCAGGTTCTCGGACAAGAATTCTGAGACTGCCATGTTGAAAACACACCAAACACATGGCCAGATACATGCACTGTGCCAGGTACCGGGGCAAGCATCTTTCTACTGTCTCTTTCATGTTACTATGTCACACTTTTATTATCTCATTAACATTCATTTGTAAATGAGGAAACAGAGCGAGGTGAAATGATTTGTGCCAAATCCAAAGCCAGTATGGAGTGGAGACAGAAGCCAAACTCCAACAGTCTGGCTTGAGCCTGTGCTAAGGACCAGGGCTCAACACACCCCTCCTTGTCCCCAACTTTTGAACTCAGCTTCAGTTCAGTCTGACTGAAGCAACGCTGCTTCGCATTTCAACTTGAGCTCCAAAAAGAAGCGGACATCGCAGTGGTACTGAGAAACGGCCTTACCTCTCCCTGAGAATTTTTCAATATAACCTTCACATCTTCACCAGTGCCCCAAGAGTTCTGATTCTTCCAGATGAGGTCAGTGGGAGGACTGGCTGTGACACCAGCATTTGCAGCCCAAATCTGAAAGAGAGAAGATGTCAGTACACCCTGGGCCCAGCTCCCTCACACAAGGACAGCAACGGGATGGCAACGCACAGGTCCAAAGGTCTGAGAACTATGATGCAGTTTCAGAGCTGCCACGCCATCTACACGCGTGCCCAGGGGAACTCACACAGCCTCCTGGAGTGAAGCAGTGGCCACAAGCACATCCTGGCCCCTCTGCACACCGGCTGAGCTCAGCAAGTTGGTGTTTATCATGCATAAAATGGGGCCCGATGGAACCCGTAGTAGGCAGGGCTGTTGTGAGGAGTGTAAGCGGCTGACTACTCGCTCTATGAAGAGCAGCACTAGCATGCGATGGCCCAAGGCTGTATGAGCCATCCTTCCATGTGCCTTGTGACCCCCCAGGAACTGAGGACATCTTCTGCGGCAGGCTGCTTATCTAGAACACTCTTAGAAACTGCTGTCTCCAACCAGACTGCACAATACTCCGATGCCTGGAACTGAGCTCGAAAAAGAATGCAGGAAATGGATGAAGAACCACTATTCCAGGGAACATACAACTGCTACTCAAACAGCCCCCAGGGGCACGCGATTGGCCTAGTGGGTAAGACACGTATGTCCCATGTCAGAGAGCTTGCGTGTGATACACGTCTCCACCTCCTGACTCCAGCTTCCTGCCAACACACACCCTGATCAGGAGAGAGCCCTGACTTTTTACATGATCACTTGGGAGAGTCCAGGCCCACCAGTATTGCAAATGCAGAGGCAGGAGCACTTACTGGAATGAAACCGAGAGAAAAGGCCGACTTTATGATGTGCAATGTCAGCGTTTTCCCAATTTCCAGCACTACTTTTCACTAGTCTATATGGAATCCTGGGGTAAATTTAGTGTTAAGAGTCATAATCATGTCAGCAGTAACATAATGTAAGCCCACAAAGCACATTCTAGAGCTGTGTCATCCCTGACCCCACTCAATGTGCCCCTGAGCCCTTGCATGCAGCTAATCCAATCAGAGGTGCCATTAGAATCAAATCCACACTGAAGTTAAAGGAATTAGAAAAAATCAAATGTAAAACATCCAACTACAAATTTTGATACTGATTATGTTGAAATGACACTCAGGATAGATTAAGTAAAACATAGCTCAAAAACTGATCCCGGCCGGCGCTGCAGCTCACTAGCTAATCCTCCACCTTGCGGCGCCAGCACACCGGGTTCTAGTCCCGGTCGGGGCGCCGGATTCTGTCCTGGTTGCCCCTCTTCCAGGCCAGCCCTCTGCTGTGGCCCGGGAGTGCAGTGGAGGATGACCCAAGTACTTGGGCCCTGCACCCCATGGGAGACCAGGAGAAGCACCTGGCTCCTACCATTGGATCAGCGTGGTGCGCCAGCCGCAGCGCGCTGGCTGCGGCGGCCATTGGAGGGTGAACCAATGGCAAAGGAAGACCTTTCTCTCTGTCTCTCTCACTGTCCACTCTGTCAAAAAATAAAAAAATAAAATAAAAAACTAATCCCACAGCTTTTTTACTTTCCTGACATGTAGCTTGAAAAAATATAAATACACATGTGGCTCCCTTTTTTAGTTCTAGAGTTTTAAAGTGATCCTGGCTTTTGCCTGGAACAATTTTACAGCCAGATCACTGATCACTACCATGTTCCAATGAGCTGATCCCAGTTAATGGCGCCTCCTGAAGCAAATATTGCTTCCTAGGATTTTATATGATAATCGAGTTCCCCACTGGCCTACACAATGTATCCATTTAGTCCCTGAGAGAGGGTACCAGTGGAATAGTAGATGATTGGCATAATGGCTCCACATTACTGCAAAGAGAGAGACAGAGAGAGAACATGAATCTAAATCTTCTGAATTGAAATGTCAGCTTCCAAAAGACACATAATGGGAGCAAACAATTTTCTCTCACTATAATAATTACTCAAAAGAAAGAGTCATTTAGTTAAAATATCTATCCCCATTTTACCCATAATCGCAAAACTGGCATTTGATTTTCTATAAAGTGGCATCAAGCTCTCTGAACACATTTTTTAAGAAGTCTTAACCTACAGCTTGAGCTTCTGATCTTACTAAAGTAAAGTCTGTATCATCTGTAAGATTATGAATATATTTAAAACATGTATTTGTATTGTCTTGTTAACTTCACTGGGCCGGCGGTATGGCACGGTAGGCTGTGCCTCCACCTGCATCCCATATGGGCACCAGTTTGAGTCCCAGCTGCTTCACTACCAATCCAGTTCCTGGCTAATGGCCTGGGAGGGCAGTGGAAGATGGCCCAAGTACATGGGTCCCTGTACCCACGTGGTAGACCAGTAAGAAGCTCCTAGTTCCTAGCTTCAGATCAGCCCAGCTCTGACTGTTGCAGCCATTTAGGGAGAGAACCAGCGGATAGAAGACCTCTCTCTGTCTATAACTCTACCTCTCAAATAAATAAAATAAATCTTAAAAAAAAATTCATAAAAGCAGCAAATAGTCACCTCTAAATTCTTTAGGGATAGAAAATGACTTCTTTGAAATCCATAAAGTTGAATATATTTTATTATTTGCTGAATCTACTTACTAAATAAAAGCAAAGGAATCTTTTATATGTTCAATGATACATACTTCCCAAAAACTGAACAGATCTGGGGCTGATGTTGGGGCACAGTGGGTAAAGCTGTCGCCTGCAACACTGGCATCCCATATGGGCCTCACTGGTTTGTGTCCTGCCTGCTCCATTTCCATTCCAGCTCCCTCTTAATGGTCTGAGAAGAAAAGCAGCTGAAGATGGCCTAAGTACTTGGGTCCCTGCTACCTACATGGGAGACCAGAATAAAGTTCCTGGCTCCAGGCCTGTCCTGGCCCAGTCCTGGTCATTAAGAACATCTGGGGGCCAGCGCCGTGGCTCACTAGGCTAATCCTCCGCCTGGCGGTGCCGGCACACCGGGTTCTAGTCCCGGTCGGGGTGCCGGATTCTGTCCCGGTTGCCCCTCTTCCAGGCCAGCTCTCTGCTGTGGCCAGGGAGTGCAGTGGAGGATGGCCCAGGTGCTTGGGCCCTGCACCGCATGGGAGACCAGGAGAAGCACCTGGCTCCTGGCTTCGGATCAGCGCAATGCGCCGGCCGCGGCAGCCATTGGAGGGTGAACCAACGGCAAAAGGAAGACCTTTCTCTCTGTCTCTCTCTCTCACTGTCCACTCTACCTGTCAAAAAAACTTACAAACAACACAAAAAGACAAAGAAACAATCCCGCGGACTGAACCAGAGGAAAAAGTGTGAGCAGGTCCGATCCAAATGCCTGTTATTAAAGAAATTTTAGGTGGTATTTCAGAACACAAGAGAGCCAAGCAAAAATCCAACTACAGTCAGAACGCCACCTCATCCATCTTTCTCTACCAGAGCCTTAGATACTAAGCAAAACTGCATGTTGCTCTTGCTGAATTATGTTTCAAAGCAGTGATTCACTGCAAGGTACCTATCACTCCAGCACTTTTGTTCAAAATACAGGCTCTACCTTAACCCCAGAGACGGATAAAGGGGAAGCGGGGACCAGGACACCAAAACACTTCTCAGATCATTCTGGACCCACCCCAGGCTGAGGACTGCAGTTTGAGCTAACAAACTTCCCAACAGTTCTTTGTGCCAAGTGCTACTGCCTCAATTACACTGGGATACAAGAATCAGCCAAGAAACAGCTATTTTATATTTTATATCGACTGGAACAGACTTATAGAGTTCAAAGATCAATTCTAACCACTCTCAGTAACTTGGAAACTTGAAATCTTTAATAGCACTTTTAACACCCTAATAATGTCAAAGATAAGTTTTAATGCCTATTTCTCCCATCTAAGTACTAATCAGGCCCAAAATCAGGCATGTTTAGGGTGATACAGCCATAGACTTAATGACTATTTCTAAAATGCTTCTTTCTAAACCAAAGGTTATTTTTTTAAGTAACGTATCAGTTCGTCAACAGTGTAGTCACATTAATTGACTAATTCACTTACTGTAACAGTCTGGCCTGCCTTCAGCACGTATCTTGAGGTATATTTGTAACTGACGGATGTGTCTCCAATTTTTCTGATCATCTCCCAGCCTCCCATTGGTTGATCCTATCCACAGAACAGAATAAAGCAAGGTTACTTCCACATAATTAGTTATGAAATAGTAGAATAAATAAATCCATACAGGCTGTTAAAATAAGACAACTTTACTCCAGTGATGCATGTTTTGCTACATAAAAAGTAAACACTGTCACTCAGCAATGAGCAGCTTCGGCAGTGTTGCAGGTAGTGGCTACGGTACTTACTTTTACAAGAGGACAAAACTGGGGAAAGAGTGTGAACCAAATAAAGAGGCCACATTCCTCCTAGATCAGACTGCTCTTCCAAATTCACAACACAACCTGTGTCATTGTCACAATTATCAATACCTAATACTTGACTGCTATGTGCTTGAAAACTCAAAACACAGAAGCTTACAAACAGTGAGAAGAAAATCTGCCCTTTGTCTTCTGCATCTGTACCACTTTTGCCCACATTCAGCTCTTAAAAGGCCGAAGGGGCTCTAAGAAGGGTCAGTGAGGCAACAGGCCAGTCCTAGGGGATGCCTTTCAACCCTAGCCCCAAGGTGCAGGCTGCTGCAGGGACGAGCGCGCACACATATCCAGAGCCCTGGGGCACGGCGTCCCTCCACACAGCTGCCTCTCACAATCAGCAGAAATGCAGCAAGGACAGCAGAGACCACGACCGCAGTCTGTTCACTGTAGGATCAGCACTCCCAGTGCTCCTTCACTCAGTCAAATTAGTTGTCCATCCACATAGCAGGGTTTTAGTAACTCCGGTGAGAAAAACAGTATTTTCACAACCATTTTTGGCAGACCCTGAACATAAGCTTCTGGAAGTGGTGCTCCTCCCACTGCACCCCCACATACCCTCCGGCCTGCCTTCCTCCGATCTCCTCGCGGTCCCTTCCTGGACCTACACCCCGCCAGGGAAGAAGAGCTTCCTCAGTGACCTCTGAGACACCCTGGCTCCCAATGTCACGACTCCCTGCTGGGACATCTGATGTGTCCTTTTAGACAAATTATTTCAAGAGAGAACACACTACTCTTGGTATAAATAAAATCATTAGCATGTGTTCAACCATTAGGCAAAAAAGACTCCTTTATCCCCTCCGGGTCTGGCCTCCTGTTTCCTCCTCTCCTAAAACTGCTAAGTTCATAACTGAGACAACAGCCCCCCGTTACCCAGTCACTCCAGCTTTCTCACAGATCTAGCTGGGGCAAAGAAGACAAAGTCACCCCTGGGCAAGCCAGGCGACAAAAGGAGCAAGCATGAACAGTTAAAGCACTAAGGGCACCGCCCCTCCCTCCACTTGCTATCTGAGTTCTTACTTCAGCCCATGAATGGACCTGGCTGCACATCTCGGTGGGAAACAAGTGCATCTACTTTTTCACCTGCTCAGAAGTATTCTTCAAGCGGATGAATTTCCCATCAACGTCTATCTCTTCGATGCAGACGTTGCCAGTGGCCGAGGCGGAATGGGAGATGCTGACGCTGCTACTCGCCTCCGACTCTTCCACGTCCACCCTCTTCCGCTTCCCTCTCATCGTGCGAACACTGCGACTGGACGAAGCTCGTGACACGGTCACACGGGAAGAAGGGCTTGGAGACAGCTTCAGCCTTCGTGGGAAGAAGGAAACATCTCATTTATGGAACACAGGCCCTTCTTACCTTAGCAAGTAGAGATTAATGCCCTGAACATATATGTCTAAAGCAAATCAGAACGGACTAGCAGTGGAACGAGTCCATGTACAAGTTAACTAAGATAAATGTATTTAGACTATCATGTTTTGAAAAACAGCAGTAATTTGAATCTCGTCTGCAGAAACAGAACCAGACCACACAAAGGCTGCAGGCAGGAGGGGACTCACTCCCTCTACCACCACCCACCATCACCACTGCTACACTGAGTGCTTTTCTCTCTCACACCTAACCTTTCAATCCTGTCAATTGTCAATGCATGGAACACTGAACCTGGTTGGGGTCTGCTCCTAAATTAGCCACTTTCCCTTTTGAACTTTTTTCTGAGAATAGTGTTAAAAAGACATATATACTATATACTACCCAAATTTAAAATAAAGTCTCAACAAATGGATTATTCTACCATATATTCAAAACCTCAGAGATTCCAGAGTCAGACATTTAAAATAATGATGCTGATGATGACGGAGGCATAGTAGGCTAAGACTCCACTGGTTCAAGTCCTGGCTGCTCCTCTTCTGATTCAGCTCTCTGCTTATGGCCTGGGAAAGCCATGGAAGATGGCCCAAGTGCCTGGGCCCCTGCACCCACTTGGGAGACCCTGGAAAAAGCTCCTGGCTGCTGGCTTCAGATCGGCCCAGCTCCGGCCTCTGTGGCCACTGGGGAGTGAACCAGTGATGGAACACCTTTCTCTCTGTCTCTCCCTTACTCCGTCTATAACTCTCTCAAAAAATAAGTAATAAAATCTTTAATAATAATAATGAAGATGATGATTACTGAGGTATAAATATGACCTATTACTGTCTCTATTACAAAGGTGTTAAAAGAAATGACAGAAAATATAAGGTTGCTTAAGCTAATTTTTTTAAATCTGGGGTTTTTCTTTGAATAGAAAGGGTGGGTTTTGCTCTTTTACTAAAGGCAATGTGAGGTAGGGTGCCCACGGTCACTCACCTCTCCTCTTCACCTTCCAGCAGCTTCCTGTAAGCACTGATTTCCATGTCCAGGGCCAGCTTCACATCAAGAAGCTGTTCGTAGTCATTCAGCTGCTGCTGCATCTGGTCCCGTATCTCCGCCATCTCCCGCTCTTTGTCAGACAGCAGGCGACGGGAGTTGTCTCTTTCTTTAGCAAGCAAGTCCTCCAACTCTTGAATCCTTTCCAAGCACGCTCTAGACTTCATATTCAAAGAAACACATTTACTTTCTAGGAACACTCACTCCCACATTAGCACAAGGCAGCTATTTTAAACCATTTCCTGGACTGGCAAACAGCAGAATTCAAGACACTTTTAAATCAAGAACTAAAATCTGTAAAATATACAACACAGATCTTGGGAACATTTTGGCTAATAAAAGACTAAGAAAAGAAATATTCCCCAAATGCAAGGTTTGTAACTGTACACACAACTTTTCTGTATTCAATCAAATTTTTAACCTGTAGTTGTAGAAAAAGTCACATCTGGCTTCTTTACAAGGCTGTAACGTAAAAAGCATAAACTAAGTAAAGGAGTAGAAAGATACCAGAATTCATTCACAAAAGAAATAGGAAGAGGCCAGTGTTGTGGTGCAGTGGGTCAAGCCACCACGTGAGATACTGCATCCAGTACCAGAATGCCAGCTTGAGTCCTGGCTGCTCCACTTCCAAACCAGCTTCCTGCTAATACTCCTGGGAAGGCATGGGATGTACTAGGAAGTACCTGGGCCATGGCCACCATGGGAAGACCCAATGGAATTCCAGGCTCCAAGCTTTGGACTGGCCCAGCCTCAGCTACTGCAGCCATCTGGAGAGCGAATCGGTGGATGGAAACGCACTCTCTTTCTCTCTCTCTCTCTCTCTTTCTCTGTCTCTGCCTTTCAAATAAATAAATATTAAAAAAATAATAAAAAAAAGAACTCATAACCCCAGTATAATCATTTGACAAGAACCAAGCAAACACAGAGTGGGGGATGGTCTACAAGATCCCTGGCCAACCCTTCTCAAGACTAAGGTCCTGAAAACAAAGAACTGTCACTGACCAGAGGAGACGAGCGAATCACATGAGTCCCTCGACTTAAAAAACAAAGATAAGAGAAAAATTGGTGAAATAAAATAGTCTACAGTCTGGCTCATAGCAGTGTACGAATGCCAGTTCCCTGGTTTTGACAAACATCCACAGTAACACAAGATGCCAACAAAATGAGACACAGAGGAAGGGCTATATGAAAACTGTCTGTGCTCTCTTGTGACTTGTCTAGTCTAAAATCATGTCAAAATAAACATCTGGAAAGTAACCGACCAATTAATTAAATTACAGAGTAGCACCTGACATTCTATATTAGACGCAGGCATGCCTCTTAAGACTGATATCATAAACACCGTTGAGATACCACTCAAGATCTAACTGCATGTGCAAACACCCTGCCATACACCGAGAAATCAATCCCTCCCCTTCCTATGTTCTTTTTTACAAAAGAAGTAAGAGAATAAAATGTGATGTAAATTCAGAGCACTCCCTCTTCAGTCGCTTCACACGTATTTCACACAGGGGAGGCTGAGGACAGAATGGATGTCAGGGTGCCCTCTAATGCAGGGCTGATGAGCGACACCAACGAGCCCAGATTCAGAGACAGCCTGGGAGCCCAAGCATGTGAACCCACACAGTCTTTGACTGCCTTTGGTGGTACCGAGTTCTTTAAGAAGAGGAAAAAATAATCAAAATTTGAGTATAAAAAAAAATATTTAAAGTTACTCTGAATCATTCTGTACTTCAGACAGGAATATTTAAATCCCACTGTAATCAGCTGCACTTCCACTTGTGCAGTTAAACATACAGATTAGAGCATGCAAAGCCACACCCAGTTTCCTCTTTGCAGACCTGCTGTAATGAGCTGTGAGCCTACAGATGAGCGGGAATGGTCCTCATTAAACCGGCTTCCCCAGATGGAAAATGCAGAGATCCAACCAGATCCCACCTCTGACTCTGTAAGTTTACAACTGTCTTCTAATGGCCTCAGGCTTTTAATTTTATTTTTCATGGTACACAACATAATTCACTGGTTTTCTAGTCTGGCTGGGATGAAAGTCCCCAGGGGCTGGGCACTAGAAAACCAAATGCTACAGGGGCCTCAGCACCATGGCCATGGGCTCTCCTAGAAGATGAACCAGTGCTGGCCAGCCAGTTAATGTGGGCACAAAAACCTAGAAATACTATCAGCAATATACGAGATCTCTAATTCTAAAGTATAATACTGCTATCTTCTACATACTATTTATTTCTTTTAAGGATTTCTATTTATTTGAAAGGCAGAGTGACAAGGCCTGGGAGAGGGATCTTCCATCCAGGTCTTCCATGTGGGTGCAGGGGCCCAAGTACTTGGACCATCTGCTGCTGCTGCTTCCCCAAGATGCATTAGCAGGAAGCAGGGTGGGAAGTGAAGCAGCTGGGACTGGATCTAGAGCTCCAACACGGGACGCTGGTGTTGCCTGCGTCAGCATAATACACTGGGCCACAACGCCAGCGCCTCTACGTGCTAATTAAATGTCTCTTCTATAATCAGTATTTTATAGGCTGTCAATCATAAGTAAAATTGAAGAAGCACTTCACCAAGCACGTCATGTAACCAGAAGGAAATTCTATGGCCCAACAGACAACATGATGAAACTGACATGACTTGGCAATAAACATGATTAAGATACTGAACAGGAAGACATTAAAAGAGATAACATTTTTCTTTTTGATGTGTTTTTTAAAACCAAAGTAAGATCAACTAATAAAAATATTCATCAAAATATATTTTATATCATAAAATCTATTACCAGTAGCAAATGGAAAGAAGAGTTCCCTCTCAAAGACGAATTAAAAACTATTCTGGTAGGGGCTAGCACTGTGGCAAAGCAGGTAAAGCCAACACCCGTGATGCCAGCATCCCAGTTCAAGTCCTGGCTGCTCTACTTCTGATCTAGCTCCCTGCTAATATGCCTAGGAGAGAAGGGGAAGATGACCCAAGTCCTTGGGCCCCTGCATCCACGTGGGAGAACTGGAAGAAGCTCCTGGCTCCTGGCTCCTGGCTCCGGCCTGGCCCAGCCCTGGATGTTGCAGCCATCTGGGGAGTGACCCAGCCAGCTGAAGACCTCTCTCTCTCTCTCTCTATCTCTCTCTTCCTCCCTCTCCCTCTCTCTATTTCTCTCTCTCCCCATAACTCTGTCTTTCAAATAAAATAACCCTTTAAAAAAAAAAAAGAAAAAGAAAAACCATTATTCTGGCAAAAAAAGGTGTTTTTCTCCTACTTGCTAAGGAGTCAGTTCCCAGAAATCCCCCAGACCCTGCCAGACATCATTTAAAAGCCACTAACCTGAGGTTCCCAACAAAACTTCCCAGAATGGGGCAAAAACCAACAGGCAAACAGAAGACAGAACTACCAAGCTGCAGGGACTACTGCGAGGTAACCAGAGACAAGTCCCAGTTTCCTCTTTGTGAAATGAAGACTAGTCTTAAGAGAAAAATGTCTATACTGAGCATCATCAAATGGATTAACCAACAAACAAAAACACAGGCAAACATCAAAGTGAGGAAGAGACAATAATCAGCACACAATTTATCTAATGGAGACAAGTAATAAACACCAAGTGAGCGTAAGAACACAGAGGCCTCGTATGGGAGGTTCCTGCTGAGACACGCCACAGGAGCAGGCACTCGCCGAGCAGTTAAGATGCCCATGCCTGCGTCAGTCACTGCCGCTCCACACGGAGACCTGGGTTGAGCTACTGGCTCCCAACTTCAGCCTTATTTTGTCCTAGTTGTTGGGAGCCTTTGGGGAGTGAACAAGCAGACGGGAGCTCTCACTCTGTATCTCTGGCTCTGAAGCAAATAAATAACTTTTTAGGATACGGTAGGTGCAGAATATTTGTGTCATCCCCAAAATATCATAACAAATTCCTAACCCCTAAGGTTATGATACTGAGAGGTGGGGCCTCCGGGGCAGTGAGCAGGGGATCTGATGACTGGGTTAGTGCCTTTGTAGAGCAGGCCCTGGGGAGCTCATTCACCTTCCACACAGGAGGACGTGACGAGAAGGCATCGCTTACCCATCAGGAGACAGGCCTCTCCAGATCCCCACTCAGCAGCACCTTGATCTCGGAACCCCCAGCCTCTCAACTACAACAAACGCCTGTTGTTTACAAACGACCAAGTCCATGATATTTTGTCACAGCAGCCCAGAAGGACCACAACAGATAGTGCAACAGGGAAAAGATTCTGGTTAAGTTCTTAAATGAAAACCTTCAAAGAGACTGAGGTATACAGGGGAAAGGTGGGAACCAGGAGAAACCCATTCATCAGCCTGCAGCAGCCTCGGGCAAGTCACAGAAGTCACCTATGTCCGTGGTTGGACTGAAGGGACACAGGTCCTTCCAGCTGTGGGTGCATGAAAACTTCAACATACTATCAGGACAAAACGCACCTAAAACAAATCAAACATTTCTGTTGCACTAATCAAGTGCATATGCAAGCAAAGTAAAAGTGTCTAAGTTGGGCTGGTACTGTGGCTCAGTAGATCAAATCCCTGGCCTGCAGCGCTGGCATCCCATATAGTCTCTGGTTTGAGTCCTGGCTCCTCCACTTCCCATCCAGCTCTCTGCTGTGGCCTGGGAAAGCACAGGAAGATGGCTCAAGTCCTTGGGCCCCTGCAACCATGTGGGAGACCCGGAAGAAGCTCCTGGCTCCCAGCATCAGATCAGCTCAGCTCCAGGCATTGCTGTCATTTGGGGAGTGAAACAGTGGATGGAAGACCTCTCTCTGTGTGTCTTTCCTCTCTAACTCTGTGCTTCAAATAAATAAAATATTTTTTTTTAAACTGTCTAAGTTGACTAATTGTTTACATTTCTGTTTCATGTAACTCCTCTCCTCCTGTTTTCTAAATTCCTGCTCTAAATGTGTCTAGTTACAATTAGAAAAAGACTTTACTAAAAAGAAAATGATAAAGTTCTAAAATAAACATTATCACAGAAGTATGCCAATGAATGAATTAATCATTAAATTTTCAATAAATATAGAAATTAATGCTATTTCCCAAGATCCTAGCCATTAAATAGTTTAAGTGCAGAGAATTCATCTAGAAACAAAGCATTCCCCATGCATAAAGAATCTTCTTTAGAGTTTTCTTCCTCTGGTTTTAAATGGGATGAGCAAGGTCTAAGTAGGGAGCAGCACTCTGTAGGGCTGGGCCTAGAGAAAGGAAAAGAAATCCTGCGTCCCAAGGTAAGCCCAGTGAGTGAGCAACCAAGCTGCTTCCTCCAGAGCCAAGGCCTCCTCTCTGGGCATCTATTCATCAGGAGTAGCAGTACCTGTTCAGGGGTTGTCAGTGCAGTGCAAAATAGCCAAGTCCGGAAGAGCACTGTGAAAACCGCAGTACAGGAAAAGCGCACCACGGTGACACACAGGGAGGACTGACACATGGAACTAAGCAGGCCGACTACGCGGTGGAGGGCCTCACGCCTAGTTTGCAGTCCCCGTAGGCGAACACGCTTCCTTACCTCTTTCTGCAGATTAGAAAGCTGAGACGAAAGGCTCTCGATCCTCATCCGACTTTCCATGAGTTCTTCCCTGGCGCTGTTCACGGAAGAAGTATTCATCTCTGAGGACAGCCTGGCATTCTCAAGCTAAAAGAACAACACACCAGAGTCGGCCTCAACCAGTGAGATACAACTGGCAAATGAGGAAACGTGGACCCGTCAAGGCACTTCAACCCTGAGCCTTGCTGGTAACCGGTGATGCAACACAGGACGAGCACCGTGAAGTCTGCTGACGTGGTTCAGGCAGCCGTAAGCCTGCGTGACTTTCTGTCACTTCCTAAAATACAAGCTTCAACAGTGTGGACACGCCTGGGCCTCCATATTTCATCCAGTAAATGCTTGTGTCGACGAGAACACTAACAAGGAGACTGAGCAGCAGCAACCTAACTGTACTCCCACTGCAGTAACAAACCACCATCATAAATCCCTCATCCACCAACTCCAGTTGACAGAAAATACTGGTCCTCGGCTTACTTGAAATGAGACAGAAACTCTTGCCCTCAGAATTGAGGACAGCTCTCCAGGTAAGAACGATTCCTCACTCCTCCAAACCCACCCAGCTGTGTGTGTGCACGCGCCCAAGCATGTCAGGCATACATTTTAATGTCTCCTCTCTGGCTCCCACTGAGGCTAAGCTTTGTTATTAATTCTGACTTTAGCTCCTCCACTGCTCAGCTCAATGCTAGCACTGCACAAGTGCTAGGCAACTGAAGGTCCTGTTTGTATGATCGCTCCCGCTCACTGGCCAGTCACTGCTTCACGAAATGGGTGCAAAGCAACATGAACACATGCACGCCATGCCATGAAAATCATTTCTAAGTCTGTCACTGACATCTCTTTAATGTAATCAGAACGCTTAGGACATGGTGCAAAAATCATTTGTCAAGAAAGCTATACTACTTGGTGGTTCTATAGGTTTTTGCATGGTCTGCCCCTGTAAGTGGGAAGAATTTATATTATTTTTTAAGTGGGTAGTAGCAATGGAAGAAGAAATGTCAGAGACTTTCCATTTCGCCCTGGATAAAAAGACCAAGTATGGTAGGCACAATTTGACCTGGGAGCCAGAGCAGGTACAGCCAAAGTGGACGTATGGGACAGCGTGCTGAGTGCTAGCACCTAGAAGAGATGGCCTGGGTTTCACTACTACGATAGGAAAACACGACCAATGGGACAACAGGAAAAACCTTCACCTCCAATAAAACTGGAACAACCCTGCTAAAACTTCTAATAACATTTACTTCGTGGAAAATGGCATTTTTAAAGACAATCCATTTTCTACATTCATGGAGACAGTGGGAATGATGTCCCTGGTGCCTGGGAAGGCCTGGCTTGCAGGCCCAGCCGCGCTCTGTGGGAGCACTCACTTTGGCGTGGTAGGTCTGCTCCAGCTCCTCCTTGTACAGCCTCACTTGGGCGTCATGCTGCTCTCTCATCTCGTGCAAGGCTTGAGCCAGCTTGTACTCATACTCGATCTGACGCCCGGAGTCCACTTCTACCAAGCGCGTCTCATGCTTCCTCCTGGTCTCATTAATCTCCTGGGGAGAAAGAAAAGATATGCAGCCGTGTTAGTTAGCATGGCTACCCCGGCACAGGCCAAGTGACCCTGGTTCACCCGCAGTTCTACACACAAGCCTCCATGTCCATCCCAGGGCCGGCGTGTCTCTGCACTGTCAGGTGACATGGTCGAGATGTGACTGAGGACAGAAATCTCTCAAGCCCCGGGAACCGGAGCTTTTCAGGAGCAGCGCTGTGTATTTCTCTGAACGCAAGGACAGCCGCGGAGACTGACTGAAGCACTATGGAGTCACGGGCAGCTAAGAGCAAACGACACTGAGTAGTAAATGCTGTTCTCAGTTGTCCTGCTGATCATCCTAAGGACATCACCAGAAAAAAATCCACAAGGAAAGTCCACTCCCACTCAGGATAAAATCAAGTGCGTGTTTACATGTAATAAAACTATCTGCTTAGACATACTAACAGGTGGAACCAGCTGAGATAACTTCTTCCAGTGGTTATCACTGTAGATAAAGGACTTCTCTTTTCTAATGTTTACTTATTTAATTTGAAAGGCAGAGCAACAGAGCAGGAGAAGGTGTCATCCATCTGCTGGTTCTCTGATCAATGTCTGCAACGTCTGTCGTGTCATGCTGCCGGAGAAGCCGGGAGCAGGAGTGCACCCAGGTCTCCCGCATGGGCGGCAGGGACGCAGGGTCTGAAACCATCATCTGCTGCCTCACAGGTATACTAGCAGGAAGCTGCATTGGAAGCAGAGGTGAGACTTGATCCTAAGCACTCTAATGGGGCATGCAGGCATCCCAAGTGGTGGTTTAACCTGCTGTGCCACAAAACCCGTGGCAATACGGCATTTTAACAGTATTATTTGGCTAACTCAAGAACATATGACAATTCACTATTAAAAAACAGAAACAGGGGTTGGCATTCTGGAGAAGCAGGTTAAGCTGCCACCTGTGATGCCAGCATCCCATAGAGGCATCGGGTCAAGTCCTGGCTGCTTCACTTTTGGTCCAGCTCCCTGTTAATGCACCTGGAGAAGCAGCGGAAGATGGCCCAAGTGTTGGACCCCTGCACCCATGGGGGAGACCTGGAAGAAGCTCCTGGCTCCTGGCTTCAGCCTGGCCCAGCCCTGGCTGTTGCAGCCATTTGGGGGGTGAACCAGAGGATAGATCTCTGTCTTTCCCCCCCTCTCTCTGTAACTCTGCCTTTCAAATAAATCTTTAAAAAACAAAAACAGCAATCATGAGCCTTCACTCTGTATTAAGGTACCGTCCGAATAAAGCTGGAGTAGGGGATCTGGCAGAGAGCGTTCAGGAATCAATTTCCATTTCAGCCTCTGGCTATGAAAAATAACACTCAACGAAAGTAATGGGGAAAGCCGCTAGAGGGAGCTACAACCCACCACGATGCCGTCTGTGGGCCTCAGTGCAGGCATGTGTCCGCCCATCCCCAGAAAATCAGACTTGAAATTCCAGTTCTGCTATCAACCTCCCAGAGCTCATTTACTGAATGAAGCAGAGGATACTCAAATCCAGAACCCGAGCAAATGACAGGTCTGATTCAACAGTGCTGAGTGGGTTTAGTTTCATAAAAGCTCCCATGCATATTCTTCCGTCCTTCCTCTTCTCCCTGCTCTTCCCCTTCTCCTTTCTCTCCCTCTAACTCTTCATAATGAGGGAGTTAGATATGCGGACTGAACAGAATCTATCCTCAGTGTAACAACAAACAACAAAAAGAATTAAGGGAATATTTTAAAATCTATTCTCAGAAGGGCAAAACTTCAAACTTCCATGATACTACCAAAGCATTCTTAAAAAATAACTAAAAAATTACATTTTACTGATGCCATTTTTTCATTCATTATTTTATGTAGAGCTAAGCTCTTACAAAGAAAAAAATCACCGACACCAGTCTGTCCACACTGGGCATCAAAAATAATGATGGGGCAGGCATTTGAACTAGTGGTTAAGACACTGCCTGGGACCCCTGTATCCCATATCGGAGTACATGGGTTTGAGTCCTGCTGATGGGAGCTTGAGTGTACTAAAGACTTTTTTTCAGCCAGCACCGCGGCTCACTAGGCTAATCCTCCGCCTGCAGCACTGGCACCCCAAGTTCTAGTCCCGGTTGGGGCTCCGGATTCTGTCCCGGTTGCCCCTCTTCCAGGCCAGCTCTCTGCTGTGGCCCGGGAAGGCAGTGGAGGATGGCCCAAGTGCTTGGGCCCTGCACCTGCATGGGAGACCAGGAGGAAGCACCTGGCTCCTGGCTTCGGATCGGTGCAGTGCGCCGGCCGCAACGCACAGGCCGTAGCAGCCACTTGTGGGGTAAACCAACGGAAAAAGGAAGACCTTTCTCTCTGTCTCTCTCTCTCACTGTCCACTCTGCCTGTTCAAAAAAAAAAAAAAAAAACAAAAAACTTTTTTTCATGACTTTTCTATCTTAGGAAACTGGCAAGGTGAGAGAGAGGACATCTAGGAATGTATCTAGGAATGTGGATTATAGAGATCATAAAAGCAGCACAGGTTTTCTTCTTGGAAAAAGATAGGGGTTGGGCATCTGGCACAGCAGGTTAGGCCGCCGTATTCCTTATTAGGTGGCCCATAGTGCTTATTAGAGTGACTGCTTTGAAGTTGTAACTCTACTTCCAATTCCATTTTCCTGCTAATGTTCATCTTGGGAGGCAGCAAGTGATGGCTCAAGTGATTGGGTCCCTGATACTAACACAGGAGACCCAGATTAAGTTTCTGGCTTCTGGTTGTAGCATAGCCCGGCCCCAGCTATTATGGACACTTAGGGAGTGAACCAGCAGATGAGGGATCACTTACTTTCTCTCTCTCTCTCTCTCTCTCTCTCTCTCTCTCTGCATTTAAAAGAAATGATAGAAACAACAAAATGAAATTATAAATCAACTTCATATAAAAATAGATGCCTTGGGGCCAGCGCTGTGGCACAGCGGGTTAAAGCCCTGGCCTGAAGCGCCAGCATCCCATATGGGCACCGGTTCGAGTCCCAGATGCCCCTCTTCCAATCCAGCTCTCTGCTATGGCCTGGGAAAGAAGATGGCCCAAGTCCTTGGGCTTCTGCACCTGCATGAGAGACCTGGAAGAAGCTCCTGGCTCCTGGCTTCGGATCACATAGCTCCGGCTGTTTGCAGCCATCTGGGGAGTGAACCAGCGGATGGAAGACCTCTCTCTGTCTCTACTGCTCTCTGTATCGTTTTCAAATAAATAAAATAAATCTTTAAAAAAAAGAGATGCCTTTTCAGAGTTTGCAAAGACCTTGTACACAATGTATTTCACTTCAGAATCCACCATACCTTTAAGACAAAAGCAGTAGCAGTATTTCATTCTATGTAACAAGCTGATGCAGAAGCTGCCCAGGATTTGTCTGCTGTGTCCAAAGTACTCTGTACCAACAATACCTATATTGCTTAAATGCTGCTGTTATGATCACCAATCTATTCCATTTTTTACCTCCAATTATAAAAGTCTTGGGTTCCTGCATTGTGGAGCAACAGGGTAAGCTGCCACCTATAATGCTTTGAGGCCCAGCTGTTCTGCTTTCGATCTGGCTGTTGCGGCCATTTGGGTAGTGAACCAGCAGATGAAAGATCTCTTTCTCTCTGTCTCTTCTCTCTCTGTCTCTCTCTGTGTTACTCTACTTTTCAAATAAATAAGCCTTTAAAAACAAAGCTTTGTGGGCGGGCATTCAGCACAATGGTTATGACACCACTTGGGACAGCTATATCCCATACTGGAGTGCCTAGATTCAAGTCCTGGCTCTGCTCCCAATCCCAGCTCCCTGCTAACGTGCACCCTGGGAGGCAGCAGATGATGGCTCAAGTAGTTAGGTCCCTGCCACCCGCATCAGAGACCTAAAATTGATTTCTGGGATTCTGGCTTCCAGCTTCCACCTGGCCTGGCCTTAGCTGTTGTGACCATTTCGAGTGAACCAGTGGATAGAAGATCACCCTCTTTTTCAATTAAAAAAAAAAGTAATTAATTCTTAGCTGCAGCAATGAATTTCTATGTTTAAATCATAGTCACTGTTTTAAAAATTATGTTACTTCTAAAAACATCAAGTACTTAACAGCATTAAGTACTGAAGTACTTTTTTCTCCCCAGTGGTTAATCCCAAACCTCTTCAAATTTTAAGGAGCATGCATTCCTGTTTCTTCAGTTTTATTACTTTTTATGTTCAAGGAGTTTCACCCGGCCCCCTTGACCACAGCCTTTAAGACTTATAAAGCTGTGCACAATTTCACAGAAACACCTACCAATGCTGTGAGCAGCCAGACCCAAAACATGCCCCAGGGCCTGCTGCCTCCTGCCATCCATGCCCCAGCATGACGCCCTCCCCAACAGCATCTCAGCGCTGGTCTGTGCAACGAGGAGACCGAGGTGAAGTCACTCCTGTGACGAGCTTATGGAACACACAGAGTTTCGTCTTGGTGTCTGATTCTCTCATCACCCACTGCTGGGGGAAGCCTACCACGAGCAGCCCAAGGAAAAGACCCAATGGCCGGGACTGAACGGCTCCTGCCAACACAGGGCAGCACTTCCTCCAGCCAGGCTGAAGTTTGACCGCAACCTGATAAGACCTTGAAACAGAGCCACCAGTTACGCAGCTTCAGATTTCTCCAGAAACCAAGAGGATAAAGGACCTGGGGCTCTCTGGGGTCAAAGTCTGGAATAATTTGCTAGGCAGTGATAGATAATACAAATGCATAAACATGCTCACGGTAACTAGCTGCTGTGACCAAGCTTTTATAAACCTGATTAAGTGAAATTCTATCTGTTTACTCTAACAGCCCGAGGTCTTAGACGCAGTCTGCTAGCAGCAATGTGTTCGCTACCTGCAACAGCTCTCCTGGGAGGGAAACAAGTCATCAAGACAACACATTGACCTATGTAGTTATGACACAGCCTTTTTATAGAACCCTTCCAATCTTTAAAAGAAGGAAAACGGCATACGGTTACCTCTTCATACATGTTTTTACGGAACTCCAGGTCCTCGGTGAGGCTCTGACAACGGTTTTCCAGATCCACCTTCAGCAGCGTCTCATCTGCTAACTGCTTTTTGGCAGCAGCTAAGGAAGCTTCCAACTACCACAAAGAGAAAGACTTGTGATAAAAATTACACGGCCACCACTCAGTGATGCACTTCAGACGCCTCTGAATAAACCAAGTATTGCACAAACATCTGTCAGTGTGTGATTACCTCATTTTAACCTTTAGCACAGAACTGCGTGTTCATGTGCTAGCCGTACCCACCAGGTGCCAGAACAAACCACCTGTCCGACTGGTAACTGACAACAGGGAGGACAGACGCCCGACGCACGTGTCACAGATCAGACCAGCGGAGCAGCTAAGCCCTGTCCTTTCCTCCTGCGCACTGAGCGCATTCGGACATCTCTGGTCGCACCTCACATCCTGGTGCCACGAGGAAATGGCTTTGAGGGTAAGAAACAGACTACACACGGGCACAAGAGGAAGCAGCAGGGGGCCACGGCCGCCAGCATCCCTTGTGGGTTCTGATCAAGCCCTGGCTACTCTACTTCCGATTCAGCTCCCTGTGTATGGGCCTGCAAACGCTGCAGAAGAGGGCCCAAGTCCTTGGGTCCCTGCACTACAGTGGGAGACCTGGAAGAAGCTCCTGGCCTCGGCCTGGCTCAGCTATGGCCGTTATAGCCATCTGGGGAGTAGACCAGCGGATGGAACATATCTCTCTCTGTCTCTCTTTCCCATTCCTGTCCTCCTTCTACCCCTCCCTCCAATTCTGCCTCACAGTCAAATTTAAAAAAAAAAAAAAAAAAAAAGCCGGCGCCGTGGCTCAATAGGCTAATCCTCCACCTTGCGGCGCCGGCACACCGGGTTCTAGTCCCGGTTGGGGCGCCGGATTCTGTCCCGGTTGCCCCTCTTCCAGGCCAGCTCTCTGCTATGGCCAGGGAGTGCAGTGGAGGATGGCCCAGGTGCTTGGGCCCTGCACCCCATGGGAGACCAGGAAAAGCACCTGGCTCCTGGCTCCTGCCAGGATCAGCGCGGTGCGCCGGCTGCAGCGGCGGCCATTGGAGGGTGAACCAACGGCAAAGGAAGACCTTTCTCTCTCTGTCTCTCTCTCTCACTGTCCACTCTGCCTGTCAAAAAAAAAAAAAAAAAAGGAAGCAGCAGCCACAAGATCTGCACAATGCAGACAGGACGAAGGTGATGCTCAAACTCTTCAGGCAAAGCCCTCAAAAAGGAAGTCGCTAAATTCCCCAAAAAGAAATGAAACAAATTTTTAAAAAATCTATCAAGGGAGCAATCAAACCACAGCTTAAGACAGATGAGGCACTGAGCCAGCCAATCAGAGCTCCAGGGTAGTGTGTTTACCTGGGCAATCTGGTCCTTGAGGTCTTCCAAATCTGCCTCTAGGCTCTTCTTGTCACCGAGTGCAGTAGCCAGAGCTGCATCTTTAGAATTCAATGCCGCTTCATATTCTCGAAGCTTGATCTGGGCTCCATTAAGATCAGATTCTTTCTTAGCGTAGCTGTAAAACATTGGACAAGGTACAGATGTAAATTTGTACCCGACTCAAGGCCTTCCTCTCCAGTTAAGGAAGAAACCAAAGAAGAGGTAGTTTAAATAAAGGCTGCCATAACCTAGTAAAAGTAGAGGAGAGATTCAGGAGCGTGGGATCCCAAGTTCTTGGTGGGTACCAGCACTCCCTTTCAATGTCACATACTCACTAGCGACTCTGGGTCAAGGAAGTCCAAAAGGACCAATGGACCAGGATCCCGGTCAACTAGGAGAGAACCACGCCCCCTGGGTCTGTAGAGCCACATGGAAGAGGCATATTCTGAAGAAATGGAAATTTACCATTTTTAAATTTAATGCATGTTGTAAATCAAGATTATAGGAGACATAAGACTTTAGATTTCTCTTCCCCAATATTTTGCAGAAAAAGTCTTTGTTTGTACCAGTAACCACCAAAACCTGAGTTTAAATTGATTTCTTTTACTCTAAATACTTTTTACTAAATGGTGTCCTAACACCACAGAATTAAAGTTTACTTAGATATATTTTGTTCAATAAAGGCCAGCATTTTTCTCATCCAAATAATTATAATTAGCTACACAGGACAGCCTAAACAGTATCAAAATCCCAATACCTGTTCTCAATTAAAATAACTACTGTAAGACGATGTTTGAAGATGAGATGAAGGGAATCATTAGTTAATAAAAATCTTCAAATACAATGAAAAAATAAACTGATAAATCATTAGCAAATACAATTTAAAATCTTCTCATTTTGCTTTTATAAAGCAACTAAATATGTAAAACAGCAATGACCAGTTTTTCTTTAAAAAAAAAATAAAACTGTATATTTTTAAAACCACAAGATGGCAGGCTTCAGCTGAAAACTAGTGGGTGACTGGCGATGACAAGATTCCGCACAGTCACCATTTACATCAGAGCTCCTGATGCATGCCAGCGCAGCACCTCACTGGGCGGCCAGCGCTCTATTCGAGCATAAAACAGCCAGAGTAGGCCTGGGACACATAGCACAGCACACACGGTGTAAGAAAAAAACCACATGTTATAGAACAGGAAACAATACTCATAAAAACGGACTCAAAATTAAGTAACAATTACAAAAACTCTACTGCACCACTGTCTGTTTTAAAATCTCTTTGGGGCTGGTGTTTTGGCGCAGCAGGTAAAGCTGCTGCCTGTGACGCCGGCATCCTGTGTGTGCACTGGTTAGAGTCCCGGCTGCTCTGCTTCTGATCCAGCTCCCTGCTAATACACCTGGGAGAGAGCAGAAGATGGCCGAAGTACGTGGGCCGCTGCCACCCAGGTGGAAAAAACTACTGGTTCCCAGCTTCAGCCTTGCCCAGCCCTGGCAATTGTGGCCATTTGAGAGTGAACCACTGGATGCAAGACCTCACTCTCCCTCTCTAATTCTGACTTTCAAAAAAATAAACAAACAAAAAAAAGTCTACTGCTCAGGGTCAGACACTCTCTACATCACCACCCTTACTCATGCAGCTGTCTGTGTGGGTGGCAGAAAGGCAAATCTTGAAGCTGCTCAAAGAAAAGCATGAAGAGGACTTGTGAGTGGCACCTGCGACAGCAGCCTAGGGCACTCAGCGCTTGCAGCTGTCCTTAGCTCTTTGGCACCCTTCAGGGCCAAAGAGAATGGGCCAGGTTCATTTCTCCTCTTCCTCCTTGAGCCCGCGGTATGAACAGTGGAAATGCCAACGTCTCCTAACACAGCTGATGAAGGGAGGGCAGCTGACTGCTCCCTCTGCACCTGCACATCCTCACACCACGCTAATCGTACAAACCCCTGCACCTGTGGATGGCACAGCCACTGAGAACTCCGAGAGCAAGGCCATCACTTACTGCTCTATCTTCTACACAGAAAGCCAGAAGACAATGACCTTTTAACAAAGTGTTTAAAAAGAACACACATGCCCACACCTCACCACAAAAAAACCCCGTCCTGTTTTTCTCATCCTAGGTCAAAGACAGCTCAGGAGAAGGCAAAGACTGAGAGATCTTCCCTCTGCTGCTCTCTTCAGAAATGCCTGAAACAGTAGGGCTGTGCCAGCCTGAAGCAGGAGGCCTGGAACGCACAGGGATTATCTCCCAGGGGACAGCACCACCTGCTGCCTCCTAGGGCACACCCTTGCAGGAGGCTGCAACCCCAGCACCAAACACGGCACCAAACACACATCTTCTATCTTTACCAAGAACACGGTGAGGTTTCTATGGCCTCCCTTTCACTCTACCAGTATCCCAAGCTACAAGACTCATGAAAGAATTCTTCAGTCACACCCCAGGCCCCATCAGAGAAGGGGCCTTCGCTAATGGATGTTTTATAAGCCAATGAGCTGCCAATACAACACTGCAGACACATGGGGTCACACAGCGACTTGGTATTTGGAACATAGTCTTGTCACAGCTTTCCAATCCTTATTTTTCACTCATTAAACATGACACAGGAAGTCCAAGTGCAGTTATCAGCCCATGGCCAAAGTACAGAAAACTGCAGAAGTGACTTCCTTGAACACACATCAAGAATCTGCCAGGGCAGGTGTTTGTGGTGCAGAGGGTTCAGCCACTACTTGGGATGCTGGCATCCCAGAGCGGGCTAGTTCGAGTCCCAGCAGCTCTGCTTCCAATCGAAGTTTCTGCTGATGCGTCCTGGAAGGCAGCAAATGATGACTCGCAGACAGATGGAGATCCAGGTTCCTGACTTCAGCCTGGCCCAGCTCTGGCTGTTGCAGGCATTTGAACAGTGAACCAACAGGTAGAAGATCTCAATCTCTCTATCACTCTACCTTTCAACAAAATGAAAATAAATAAAGACACTTGAGCACACAGTAAATTCTGACAACACCCTAGGACAGAGAGCTACTTAGATAAGGACCCAAAGTTACTAGAATCTAACACTTAAGGTTATTAGTATACATTTTTCTTTGACTTTATTTCCTAACTAGATTTCTTCAGTGTTAGTGATTGGCCTGATAAGTTTTTTTTTTTTTCCCAAAGAGTTATTTATTTGAAAGGCAGTTACAGAGAGGGAGAGGCAGAGGCAGAGAGAAAACTCTTCCATCTGCTGTTTTACTCCCCAGTGCCCACAACAGCCAAGGCTAGGTTAGACTCAAGCCAGGAGCCAGGAGCTTCATCTGGGTCTCCCAAGTCGATGCAGGAGCCCAAGTACTTGGGCCATCTTCCACAGCTTTCCCAGGAGCTTAGAAGGGAGCTGGATGGGACATGGAGCAGCTGGGACTTGAACCAGTGCACATATGGGAATCCAGTGCTGCGGGCGGGGCTTAACCCACTACACCACAGCGGCCGGCCCCATGATTAAACTCTTTTTATATCCATGGAAAGAACATTCCTGTGTTCTCATTTAAATTCCACATGTGAACCTAATGCTAGAAACATGCACATTCCTGAAAATAAGTCATAAACATACTCATCTCTTTACCTACTTTACAGAAGAACTAAATTCCAACTCTGGGGGAGGGGGGAAATCACTTTATAAAACAGAGCCGGCATGCCATTAAGAATCAATGCTGTTAACTTTCTGGGACACATCCCCACCTCTCCCCAGGCCTGCAGGATGAGCTACTGAGTTGTTCCTCACCGCCTCCTCCCCGCAGCGACCCGTGTGCCTCACTGCTTCAACCATCCTGGTTTTTGTACCCAGCACTCAGTGGCCCTTGACTTGTCTAAAGATCATTTCAACCTTGGCTCCTGTAATGAACTACTCTGGCTTAGGAAGGCAGAGTTTGAACTTTGCCTCTGCACTCCTCTTTCTGTTTGGATGACTGAGTTTCTCACTGTCTCGATAGCCTTCAAGTGTCTGGACATATGCCATTCCAGACATCATAGAGTAAAAACAAGAGATTAGAAAATGGACCCAGTTACAAAACTGCTGAAAAACAAGTGCTCAATGGAGATCTCAGGAAAACACATACAAAACTCATACCCCACACATAATACGTAGAGCATCATTCTAGAACTCGTAAGTATATGACAACAGTAACTACTTGAAGATGAACTAGCACATTATAGTTGTAAACACTTGAAAAGTGAGACTTCCCACCAACACAGGAAGAATTCCTGTGAAAACAGAAGTCAGCAGGGACGAGTATCCAGAACGTAACTGAGACTCACTCAGGAAGACGTTCCATTCGTTCGGGACTGGCAAATTACTGCGCCCTCTCTTGACATCTTCTTCATCAGCGTGGTCACACTGACACAAACACTCAGCTGAATGAAATATCTAGTTTGGCCAGGGGCACAACCACAAAATAGGCCTAAGCTCAGCTCCTCTAACTCTCACCCACAGCTTGCCCAGGAGCACACAGTCTGTGTTCTCTTTCAGCACAGGATCCACACACTTCAGTCTGGTTCCCTTCATTTACCAGAGCCACATCTTCATTCTGTTATCAGGTACTTTGGGTTCTCTGATTTTCATGTACAAAAATGTATATGCAAAACTTCACAGTGAGCAATTAGAGACCTACATTATAGAAGGTCTCAGTGAAATTGTGTACCTAGAAAAAGTTAGTTTCTAGATACTAAAAGTTTCTGGATATTAAATCTCTATGAAATGTGCCAAAGAGGTTACTGCATTACTACATTCAAGAGTGGACAAGGGCCAACAATTTTGTTTTCAAAATATTCTTACGGGGCAGACATCTGGCAGAGCAGCTGGGATGCTACTTGGGACTTCCAGATCTCACATCTCAGTGCCTCGGTTCACGTCTCAGCTCCACTCCTGATCTTAGCTTCCTGCTAATGCATACCCTGGGAGGAAGCAGATGATGGTTCAAACATTTGGGTCCCTTCTATCTACATGTGAAACCCAGATTTAGTTCCAGGTTCCTGGCTTCAGCCTGGCCTAACCCCAGCTGTTGCAGAGGGAGTGAACCAATGGATAGGAGACTGGTGTTGCTAACTCTCTCTCTCTCTGCCTTTCAAATAAAAATTAATGGGGCCAGGCATTTGACACAATCCCATATCAGAG